AAAAAAAAAAAACTTTCTTAGAAATTCAAAATGACGCTTTTCGTGATGGAAGTTAGCAGTGTGTTCACGAAGGGAGGCCCTTAAGTGCTATAAAATTCATAACAAAGGAGCAATGCCTCACCAGAATCTTCCACGAGTGTTTCATTGTTTTTAAACCACACGATGTTGGGAGGAGGAATACCATTTGCTGTGCATGATACTTCTATAGTTTCACCAACGTTTGTTGTTTGATTTTCCAGATTTCCTATGAGTGTGGGTGCCAAGGGCTCTGTTGGTGTGAAAATAAGACAAAACCTCTGAGAATTTAAGAAACATTTACTTTTGCAGTACTAGCACTTACTTGGTAACACATTTGACCCAGTAAAGAAGTCTCAAAGCCTTTTATAACATCAACAGTCCTAAGGTTCATCTAAAGATCGTACTTAACCTTCCACATTTTATGAGCAAGTCATAACACTAAAGAAAGTATTTAACAGCGTTGATGTAACCCACTTTGGACTATAAAATTTGAATAGGCTGCTGAGGGAAGAGGGAATAGGTGGGAAATTGCTTCTCTCACATTTGTATTTTCAGGCCTGTTAAAAGAAGCCTTATATTGCCAGTCCTTCAGACACTCGTTTAGGACAGCCCATGAGCACATACTGGGATTTTTCTGAACTAGTACCACAGTTGTCTTATCAGCCTAATCATCTAGGCCCCAAAACAAAATCATCTGTATTTTCATCAAGAGCTTATTGATTAAAGTCTGTTTTGCTGTTGTCTAAATTTCGGCATTATTTGATAACAGTTTTGTATGATACATATGATCTCAAATTCAAGAATCAATGACACAGTGTAGTAACACTGATGCCACCAAAATAAATAGGTATTTATAGTTAAAGTGGAAAAAAGTGTTTTGAAATGTAATACTGCAATGTTATTGAGCTATGTGCTATTCTTTGGGCAAAAGCCAAACTCAACTGCTTGCATAGCACAATTGCACTGTCAGTGTTTCCTCACTGGTACTGATGGAATGGTAACTCCCTCAATAGCTCCCAGACCCACAAGCAGCAGCAGTCAACATGTACAAGGCATCCACTTGTAAACAACAGTTCAAATCTATTTAACAAAATGAGGACACTATTAAGCACCACACGCAGGGGCTGAACTTATCCAGGATTGACACTATCACAGTAGTTTTCACATGCAACAACTCTTCAGTTCACAGAGGTACACACCTTGAACAGTGAGATGCTTGACCAGGCAGTGCTGTGTTTTAGCCTTTTTGTCCTGAGCAATACAAACATAGTCCCCTCCATCCTGGATAGAGATGTTACGGAGGATAAGTTCCAAGGTGACATTTTCACCATTGGTATTTGAAACCGTCGCATTCAGCTTCTGAAGAGCATTAAGGTTCTTGCAAACAGGCATGGGTAGCCCTCCAAAGGGAGCCTGAGAGGCGTGAGCACTGAGTTTGTACCATGATAGATTCTCAAAGGTAAATTTGTCTGCTGTGCATTGCAAGGACATGTTATCCTTCTCTGTGAGTTGATTCCGAGGCTGCAGATTAATTTCAAGACCCCCTGCAAATTAAAAGAAATTCCTATTAAGTTGTATATTTTT